GTTAAATGAGATTAATGAATTATCAATGCTGCGAGCATTGGAAAACGGTCTGAGCATGAGTTTTCGCTCATGAGATCTGTACGAATATCCTCTGTTACAGAATACAACCAAACATTCATGGGCTGTCAAAACGGCGTCTCAACTTGAGAAGCTGCGATATGTTATCTTTGCTCTGCAGACTGGTCGGAAGAATGTCATATCACGAGATGTTAGTGTGTTTGACGATTGTAATTTGAGTAACGTGAAGGTATATCTAAATTCAGAATTTTATCCGTACGACGATTTAAATCTATATTGTGATAAAAAGAAATACATCGTATTGTTTGATATGTACGCGCGTTTTCGTAAAGCATATTATGGAATCAACTGATTCGAAACGATTCTCAATTATCGAGAAAGGGCTTTTGCGGTCATTGATTGCTCGCGACAAAACAAACCCATGAAGAGCATCACTATGGATCACACCTACGCATAGAATTTGGCTGCAAGGATGCCCGATGCAATTGTGCCCGTCAATACTACCACCTATTGCCTCATCATACATGATCGTTTAATCGAGTACTGTCCGTTGTCCAACGGACGGTTCGCAAGATAATGTAAATTGCAAAGTCAGTAAGTATTTAGAACTTTAAAAGGGAGAAAAAAACCGAGGTGAAGCGCAGTCTTGAATAATTACTCATTATAGTCATACCAACGTTTGTGGATCTACAAGGGGAAAGATTCATCGTTAACAAGAAATTTATCGTCAAAAAAGTAGCGATGCTACAAAATAGGGGACCATTCTCACATATTATATTTTTACGAGTCCCGTAAATAGTCATGGAAATTTTTGACAAGATTCGACAAATCTTGCGCTTCCTGATTGAGTGCTTATCACCATGAATTGTGATGGTAAGACGGGATGGTCCCGTACAGCGAGACGAAACGCCTGATCACGACGGTTGTATTTGAAGATGATGCTATCGTGTACGACAAGGAGCGCGAGAAACGAACGTGCCTGTGGAATTTGCTTCTGGATGATGAGCAAGAACGCATATGCATCGAAACTTTTGATACAATTTACGAAGACATGGAATTTTTAACTAATCTGGATGATTGTAATACTATATAATATGGAAAACATGCAAAAAATTATGCTTTACAAAATGTATTTAAAATATTTAATTGGTGGTCACGACGCTAGAAAAAATTGTAAGATTTTTTTAATGCAGTTTGCAGCGGGAGGCTGCCGAGATCTATCAATGGATGCTCAATAGATTGGAATCTACGATGGATATTCGCAATGATTGATGGGAAAAATGTAAGTATTACGTTATTAATTTAGTAATTAGTAGTAATTAATTCGAGCGAGATGAGAATATTTTATCAGTTATTTCTATCAAGACTAAATTTAGAGATCAGTATTTTCTCATCTTGATGAGTCGAGATTATAGATTATATCGTTT